AGGAATAGCCAGAGTAGTGTCCTTGGAAACAGGGGTTGACACACACACACACTCTTTGTGGCACCAGAAGCTATGTCTCTCCTGGACAAGGCTTTGGTCGATGCCACCGTTGGCGGCGAAAAGCTTCAACAATCCTCGGTCGGTCCCAGCGCCTCATCCCGGCGGTCAACCGAACGGTATGACATGACGGCTCATCACTACTCACTACTCCCTTACCCCCCAGGGCGGGGTCAGGCACGCTAAGGAGGTAGTGATCAGCAGTTCTTAGCATTTGACCCATACCAGGGTGGCTTGGGTGGTTTAGGGCGGCTCTGGGCGTAGCTTCCGTGAGTCACAGGATTTATCGCAGCCGGGGACTTTCTAATCCTTGTGGATTGGACTTGGTCCAGTCTGGGAACAGGTTGTTGGTTGAACTGACTGTTGCTGCTCTATCTGAGTCGGAAAATCGTGAGTTGATCGCTTGGACATTTATGTTTGCGTAGCTTTGCTACGCAGCATCTTTCTTCTGGTTTCTACAACTTTGAGACACATCAACTAGAAAGTGCTTCCCCACCGTCGATGTATCAGCTCCGGTGTTCAAAGGCCATGGCTTTCCATCCCGAGAAAAACGAGCGAATCAAAGACCATGTGACTGACGAAGGCGGACGATTCAAAGTCCACCAAAATCGGAGCCACCTGCGGAGTCGCTTTTTGCACGGTTCTGCACGGTGACGGTCGACCGAGGCTTATGAGAACCTGGAGGCTGAGACACATCGGGGTCTTCAGGGTCCAAAAATCAAGTCCTTTCTCTTTCACTGTTCGCTTCTTCCATGCACTGCTTCTTCACTTGAAGGTCTGCATAGGTCTACCAGGGTCTACATCATACCACGTCCCAAATTTGACCTCATGCTTGTGCCGCTGCAAACGTGGGCAGGGTGGCTCAACATCACCTCTACAAACTCAACCAACTTAGAGATAACCCCAAGGCACGAACTGGGAGCTCTCTGCGAAGCTGACGGAGAAAAGCAAGAAACCTGCATCAAATATGGGCATAAACATAATTAGATGGGCAAGCCATAGCAAGCCCAAGCAACTACTTCAAGGATATTGCACAAGACATGCAAGGAACCAAGTCTTGAAGCTTGGAGCAAATATTCCCTTGGCCATTGGGATTGGGTGTTCGCGGATGTCCGACGTCAATTCTGATGCGGACAACATCAACACAGATCCGTTCACTTGTAGAGGAAGGAGGCAAGCTTGCCTAGGAGTCTGGGAGCCCTCACTTTGATACCAATGATCTGTTCCGAACTGCAGGATTGACGAAGGGCTCTCTTTCACCCTTCGACCTCAGACACCGAACCCTTTAGGATTGACGGCGACATGCTGTCCGTGAATTCGGGGGAACCCACCCCAACGCTGGTCCGGCCTTGGCCGCGGCCTGCCGGAAGAACTCCGAGGAGTTGAACTGCACCTGGGGCGGTGTCCCACCGCGAAAGTGCGCGCCGACGGTGCGCCGACACGGACACGGCCCTGATACGGCCGGCGACGGTGTCAGACGGGGCAGGACCGATTGGAAGGACCGGAGGCCCGGCCCGGAGCGGTCCTAAGAGAAACAGACTTGGAACGGACGAAGGATTGAGATGGGACCAAAGGAAATTGGAAGGTTCTAAACTAGTAACAAGTGCCACGCTAGTAGTAACAAGTGCCTTACTAGTAGTAACAAGAAGCTACTAGAAACAAGTGCCTTACTACTAGTAACAAAAAGAATTTAAAGCATAAACATAAACATAAAGCCGGTCGGACCGTGAAAACACCGCAAATGGGGCAAATGGAACCACAACAGCTATTTCGACTCGACTTTGGCCAGTGTTTTATTTGGCAAATACTTTCAGCTACAAGCATGGCTGTTCCTTGCTCAGTCCACACGAAACACCCAGCTGACCTCAAAATGATGGGAAACCAACAAACTTGTGAAATGCACGATCGGATCACGGTAGAAAAAAAAACAATAAAAGTACCATAAAGTACCCATACTTGGAGAGACCACTCTTGTCAACGGCTCGTTTCATCCCCATCCACCTAATACCCAAAGTTTCTGGTGTGGTTGTAAAGGGGTACATATATTTTAGTCGATCAATACTAGTCAATACTGTGTTTTAATATACACAATAATCCAAACAGTGAGGGCCCAGTCTGGTCCCTCAAGTCGAAACCAGGCACCGCATGGAACACCAAAGGGTAATGGCGACCTTGTGCGTTCTCCTGGAACACCAGGGTTTTCTGCAGCTCCAAAGTGAAAATGTTGATTTATTACCTCATTTAGGAAAGTGTTGGTATAAGATGTATCGGAAAAAGCTCGAAGAACATGACCGACATGGCGAAGAACATCTCCGACCGCCCGCGATCGACCGCGCACCCGTCCACGGGGTTGTGCCTTGGAGAAGGCCACCAGCATGGCTGTCAACATGGGCCTCACGCGGAGCCGAAAAGCACCGTCACCGGTTTTCTTTCGCAGGAGGCGCTCGCGGTTCCAAAGACTAAGTCTCAACCTGAAACACTGGAGACCCAGTTGCCCAAAGATCCTTCTGTTGATAGCGATCAGTGGGATAGCCTCAGAATTGCTCCAACATTCTGGCAACTTGTTGGTAGGAATTTTTGGTGTATGTATATATATATATAGGAAATGTTGAGCCTGGCTGATCTCAAGTTGGCTTTGACACCCTTCTGCAACCAATTCTTGTAAACAGGGTGCATCCACAAACTCCGAGACTTCTGGCAGCCATTGGCACTAACTCTCTGCGAGGTGTTTTGTAGAGTGTTTGGATGAGATAAATCCTATGAAATCCCGATAAAATTATCTACGGAATTGTATGACTGTAGATGTCTTGCTAGTATTAGTCTCACAAAGCAACTTGAGGTTGGTGTTGGCAGCTTTGGACCACAACTTTGGCAACTGCTCCTGTTCACCTGGGGGGAGTTCCTTGCCTGTGGCCTCAAGCGTTTGGCAACATATTAACATATCTTGACATGCCCACAAAAGCCAAGCCATAAGCTGACCTTTGCGCCATGTTTGGACTTGGGGATATCGACAATGAATTCCAACATCATGCAACATCGCTAGGAATTGCTTCATCACACCTGCAAACACAAATAGAACAAACACTTGTTTAATTCCTATTCCTATATAGCCGCCTATACTTGTATAAACTCGACTTGTACCCGTTTTGAAGGCCCCAGCCCATTCGACACCAGCCGGCCTTCTAATACAAATCTTTGTCTTTGTCGTTTGATCCGTTGTCCGGTCTGTCTCGCCGACGAGTTTGGCCATGTTTCTTCATCTCCCCTCTGCATCCGCCCCAGAGATCCCAGATCGCGAGAGACCTTGGTGTGCCCAGTGACGCGAAAAAAAAAACAGAGAACATCTCTGCGCCCAGTCACCCAGGTATTTCTTCCATGATGCGCAGGAACTCCGATGCGATGGCCTTTGACAAAGTCGCATTGGCCTCGTTTGGATGACGTGGAGGCGAGAAACGAGTTTCCCGAAGAAATGGCAACTCCAGAGGCCAAGGAGGCTTTTTGGAAGGAGTTCCGAGAATCCGCGAGATGTGAATTGAGGTAGTGGGGCGTGGGGCATGGAAAAACGACCAGTGAATGTCTGCAAAAAAGGCGTGGACGATATAGCGAATCTAATCCTCATCTGGACGAGAAAGCCCTCAGCCTCTAGCAGAAATGTGCAGAATACTCTAACGCGATATACCAAGATCAACAGTCCAACCAACCTGTCAAACCCATCAACCGACCTACCTAGTTACAAACCAAGAAGAGATGATCGGCTCCGCACATAGCGTGTCTGGCTGATAGCGAACACCAGCTTGGCCAAGGCCTACAATGGACCGCAGGTCAGGGAAGTTTGGCTCTTCAGGTGCTGGGCAATCTGGGATAATCTGGGTCGATAGCATCTTTGTAGTTCAATAAGCGTCTGCATGTGATAAAACTTGTGTAGTTCAATAAGCGTCTGCCCGTCTGCATGCGATAGAACTTGTGTTACTTATATACTTATATAGTTTCTGCACTTCAGATTCTGAACCCACTCCAGTCCCCTTCCACAGGAACTGTCCCTCCAGGTATGGGTCGAATCATGCCGAATCCCCTCAAGATGCTCCGCGACGAAATCCAAATGACATGCTCTTCGTCCTTAGGGCCTTAGGGTTCCATTTGGTTTTAGTAAGTTCCTCGAACTGCCAATGGGGGTTTGGGGAGACAACATAGTTTTGACTGACTGATGCTGACTACCTAGGAACTTGGAAACAGCGTGGACCGTCGAAAGGAACGTGGAAGGTGGTTCACCTACCTGTATGAAGCGGCTCACCAAACTTCTGACTGGTCCCCAAATGCGTTTCTCATCCACTACAACTCACTTTGGGACTCTGGGTGTTCCATGATTTTGTGCCAGACTGCACCACTTGAAGAATCCAAGCCTGACTCAGATTATTCATTCCTCCACTTTTGTTCCACAGCCACCGTGCCACGCCGCTGCCCTGCCCCTTTTCCACCAGATCCCAAACTTCCAGCCACATCTCTTGCCACTATATAACTATATATTTCCGCCACTGCCGATCCGCCAGTTCTGCGCTCAAAAGCACAACAATCACCAATCCCCCGGGCAGGTGCAACTCCCCCAGGCCCCCCAAAAAAACCCAGGCCTTTGGCCTGAAAGCCTGCATGTTCGCGATGATATACTTGGAGGACGCCTGGTCGGAGCACAGACTTCGTGGGACTCGCTTGGGAACGGAGGATCGGGTCCGACCGGTCGGGTCCGGTGGTTGGACCGGGAAACTCCGGCGTTGGTTGGATTGGATCTTGGTACCTCAAGTACCTCAAGTTCCTCAAACTGCCAAGAAAGGTCCTTTTGTTCACGGTTGAATTGTAGAAATGGCTTTGAGAGGTCTCAAAATCCCACCCGCAATGGCTGCAAAATAGCTCAGAATCCTGTATATGGAAATGGTTGGACGTGTTGGGACAGGCTGAGTAGTTTGGTAATGCGCTTATAAACCCACCTTGAAAACAGAAGGCAGCCACCGCCAATAAGGATGGCAATGGTAACTTTGCCTGCAATCTTAAAGAGCACAGGTGTTTACCTTGCATGCCCTCGCACCATGACCCACACCATCCGCCATGAAAAACACACTTGACATACCCACCAATCAAGTCCCTGCTCCGACGTCCGATGTTCGACGCACCGGCAGCGTCTTCTCTGTGAAACAGAATTGTGAGACAGTCTCTTCGTGCACCCCACACGGGTGGTGCCCCGATTCGAGAAGACATCGTGGGACATCGTGACACATCCGACTTGAACAAGGAACAGTAGGAACCACTTAAGACCTACCAAGAATACTCTCCAAGTAGCATGGAAGTGGAAAACCACCTGTTTGTAGTGATAAATTGTCTTCCAGGGAACGTGGTTTCACTTCCATGATTATTTTAAGGAGTGTACATGTTGTGTGTAGCCAAGCTCAAATTATTCATAGTCAAGTGTCTACAGACCTTCTGGGAAGACCGAGTATATAAGTCTAATATAGTCTAATTACTTTCTTGGGGGGTGGCATAGGAGTTTTCACACCCAAAACCTATTGGATGAGGCATCCATGCTAAATCTAATTTGGATGAGGCATCCATGCTAAATCGAAATCTACTGCCTGGATGTCTGGCTGGGCTTCTCCTCCAAATTCAGCAGCACACGAACGAACTGCTCGTCTCAGCTCTCAAGTGATTGGAACATGACGACCTCTGCCCGACCCGTCAGAACTTGCTGATTGCGGTGGGCCACACAAACCGTGAGAGCAAGAAAGAGTTGGTGCTACAGTGAAACTGAAAAGTTGTGTTTTAAACTTGAAGAGAAACATCTTCAATTTTGCAACCAAAACCTCTTAGCAAAAGGTGCGGCTGGAGCAGGCTCCCAAAAACATGTTTTGTACCTTGCCGTTGCGACCTCGCTACAGCGACGTTTGGAGGCAACAGTCCAAAAGAGACTCCAGATTGTCTGCAACTTATTGCAAACATCTAATCCTTCTTCAATCTAGGACCCTAGAAGCCCCTATAGAACCAGATTCCGCCCAGGTCTGTCTGAGGTGTGTCTCCATTTTCGGTGCGGCCAAACGCGTCTCGATTCTTCCCACAGACATCGTCCCTCTCAGCTCAGCACCGAGAGAAAAGGGCTCAGAGCAGCGAGAAAGAATCCCCTCAGACTGCGCGCGCTGGAGGGCAAAGGCAAATCCTTGGTGCAGAAGGCCTCAGTGAATTCACACTGCCGACAAGCGTCAAGTAGTACGGCCGCACGCAGTGAATCACTGGCAGACAGTTTGTTGTCACACAGTAAAGTGTCCACCGATGTCCACTGGATGTACTTCCACATCCATGCGGACCTGCAAACCCTGTTCCTTTGCTGAAAGGCAATGTTTCACAATTTGCAATTTCATGTTTGTGAGAGTGCAAACTCCCTCAACAAGATTGCCATCACCTATCCTGTATAATAATATTCTGGTTCGGACTTGGTCCTCGGGGCTGAAAAATACATACTCCAGGCAAGGGGGTGGATTCCAAACCCAATCGCAGTCTACTCAAGGAATCTCATCAGTATCCTTGGACTTGGGGCTGCGAACAGTTGGGATACACCTGTGATTAGGATCCACATATTCTACTTCATGTCTTCACGGGTCCCCTGGTATGTCATGGTCTATCCGCATCAAACGACCCAAAGCTCACCCTTAACCACTGGAGAGTCACGAGACGTCACACGGTGCCGGTGGTCAACGGTCGGTGCAAATGAGACAATGGCCTTTGCCCTTTGGGTTGCGTATGTTCATAGGGAGATGCCCCTGGCTTGGCTGGGTAGACTGGTCGATTTCCCGAACTGCTTCTATTTGCGGGTCGAACTGGGAGGTCTCCCTAGTTTAAATCACATTTACGACCAGTGCCCCACACTTACGGACCAATGCGAAATGACCACAAGGTGTGAGACACCGACCGGTGAGAGTGGGTGGTCTCCTCGACCGACCGGATGCGAGGAACGTGATCTCGGAAGATCGATCGAATGAGGTAGAAACAGGGGGCCATGCTGTGTTTCTTTCAGGGCAATCCGGAAGAAACCAAATAGGAGAATTCTACAACACACAGGATCACAATTGTCCTGAGGACGAACTCCTCAAACCCTCATGAACTTCTGAAAGTCACGTCAACTCCAAGTGGCCGGGGATTGTGTGCAATCCGCCAGATCTCCACAGGTCGTGGACGCCGAAACCATGAGCTCCTGGGCTCGCTGGGAGCTGTGAAAAAGCGAAAGCCAGCGATGTTTTGCAGCGCTGGGTAGATGATGCTCTTGAATGCAACAATGCCAACAATGCTAGAGTTATTTGGCAGCATCACCTGCATAGAAAGAGTGAATAAATCATAAATACAGTAGCTCTACCCTTCCTGCAAAGAAACAATCCACTCTAGTTTAGTAGGAAACTCTACACAATGTTAATGTGAATGCCGTATTTAGATCAATGTCCTTCTTTGCGGTCCTTCAAAATATTTAAACTTTTGCATGGTTAGAATACATTAGAATGTTGTGCTTGGGATCCTGCTTGGTTTGTGCCTGGTGTTCAACCTCATATGTGGCTATCAAATGAATCCCCTCCTCTCCAAAGCTCTTATGCATGTTGGGATATGTTGGGATGCCTATCCGATCATGTTTCTTCAATTCCTATCCTTCATGAAGAGATCCCCCTGAAGTCACTATCAACTCCCACATCAACCACATTCTAGGTGGGAAGCCATTGCTATTAGGTTGGAGGCCATTGCCATTGCCATTAGGTGGGAAGTCAGGCCAGCACAGGCCACACAAACCATTGGATCCGTTTTCAAGTCCGGGCTGCTCCAATCCTTCGACCTCATGACTCTGTGACCCCATTTTCCGATGGACGGATGATGAAAAGCGCTGATCAAACCGATGAGGCGGTCGCTGCTCAAACCCCACCTCCAATTGAGGAGTCAAGAGATTGGCGTGCTGCAAGAGCTCCATCTCCATGGTTGCCGGGTTGGCTTCGCACCGAGCATTGGACCAAAGACACTCCTGACTGTCTCCCGGTGGCGACGGGCCCTGTTTCAGGAGGTTCATCGAGTTTTCCGGCAGTATTGGTATTGTGTTGGTATGTATTGGTCAAGGATGAAGCCTTGTGAGGCAAACTCACAGACACACATTGTAGAGGCTCTGCCTCCTCAGAAGTCATTGTCCCCACTAAACCCCCCAAATATCTCCAAATTGTGTGTCCAACACTCTTCCCCCCCCACAGGTCCAGCACGTTGGACTCTCGCAGTCCATCAAATCTGTCGAACCCTCTCCACCTCTCCTGCAGCCCATAGTTCCGCGCAAGCTCACAACTGCCCACGCTGAGTTCATTGCCTCGGCGGGCGGTTCGAAAGTGGCGCAGACTCCGGGGCGGAGCACGCAGACCACGGAGCTGTGCTAAGCTTGGGAGCTGGCAGCTCCCAGGAACCTGGAAAAAAGAACATATATAAAATAGTTCCATTAGTAGTCCCCAGAAGAGGGATTCAACCATAGCGAAAATATGGTGAAAATAACACATCACCTCATACGCAACACTGTAGGTGATTTGGGGATGGGTCGTGGGTCCCAATTTGGAGCCCGACTGGTCCACCAGCGAACGACATGGTTGGTAGGTCAATCAAGAGCTTGGTTTTGACCCACAGGATCCCACAGCCATTGAGCGGTCGCCCGAGCCATCAACGATGTGGGTCGCAATCTGAGGTTGGCACAAGCTGATTGCGTGCCAAGGATTGTCCTCGCGAGGAGATGACAACTCAAGCCAACGAAATAACAGCCAACTCGTATGCCATAGCTATGAATCGTTGGTCTCTGTTCATCCTGATAGCCCCAGCTTCAGCAACCCTTGACCCACATCATTAGACCCACATCGCCTCGTTCATTGCGAACATGAACCGAGCCGAAAAGAATCCGAACCGACGCGAGCCGAACGCGCGCGCATCGCTGTCTCCGGCACTGGTACCTGTGACTCTTTCAATCCCTTTACTCGGCCTCAAGCCATTGGATACTCAGGTCGTACTCAACAAACGTCTCAGCAAAAACGAGACAACGAGAACATGTATGTCTCCTCAGTGGGCAATCTTCATCGATCACAGCGAAAAGCGCTTCCAGCATCTTCACCCGGCAGCTCGAGGTATTGGCGTCCCACTGGCAGCCACGACGTCCGCACTCGAGCGCGGAGTGAAGTGCACAGCGCTGCTGGCGGAAAGCCACGCGCATGAGCTCTTCGCGAAAGTCCTGGGAGTGGTCCAAGTGGTCCAAGTGGCGCACCAGTCCGAAGAGTGAGTGACTGGTGAGTCCGTGAGTCAGCCTGATGTAGGTTTGGTGGGTGAAAATCGTGTTGTCTGTCTTTTACCCACAATGAAAGTCTGTACATGTGTGTGTGTGCATTTAGATTGTCTTTAGAGTGGCTGGGGCCAGGTCATAGGGTCTACAGTTTTCGTACTTTGGTTTTGCAAGGAACACCAAAATACCAAAACTGCTATAAACGGCATGTATACTAGGTACTGAAAACAATCACAAAACACTACAATGGTCAGCAAATACAAAATCAACACGAAACACTGTAAAACACAATCTTTTCACACAAAAGGTAGGTGCCGGGGGGACCATATAAAAATATATATATATGTATATTTATTATATATATATATACGACATTATATTAATAATTTAAAGTTTGGAAGGATGTGGAACGACCGCAATATAAGAAGAAGATGTTCCTGGCCCTGTCCGCTGGCGCTGGTCCTGACGTAGCCGACGGAGCACACTGGCTGGTTCAACGCCGCAAGCATTCCGCACCAGATCCCAGGAGCAAGCAGTTCCATTGTAAAAGCCACAGGAACTCTCATCAAGCTCTATGCAGGTTGCCTCATCCGCCATCATTTGCCCCAGCAAACCACACTTTCCAGCCACACTGGGTGAGGCCGGGCTAGCTAGTTGACGTGCCACCCAGGAAGCACGAAGGCCACAGTCACCCAAAGCATTTGGCGCACACTCGGTGGCGTTGCAGGTGCTGCCAAGCTGTCGACAAGTGAGACTAGTGGCTGCAAGTTGGGCCCAGAGACTTCCTTGACCAAGCCGCTCAAGCAAGCTGGCTGTATAGGCAGAACTCACCTGGGGGTTCAGGTGCTGAAAGAAGGCACCGTCTGATCACTGGAAGCCTTTGCCAGTGGCTTGAACAGTGAACAACTCAATTCAGGATACCTTGGTTGACCCACAGACGAAGGAGAAGCTACGTGTTGTGGGGGCTCCAGGTTTTGACCCCATCCCCATTAGAATCTCCTACGCAAAAGGACTACCAAAGGTTGGTTTCGGGTTGTTTCGTTGACCCATGCTGCCTGGCATTTGCCGGTGCGCGCACCATCGAGCCAACAGAGTGGCTGGCAATCCTGGGCCCAAACTGGGATGATCACCAGCCAAAGCACCCTGACCATGCCTCAGTTGGATCAGTTGGATCAACTCCTTCGACCTCTCCGAGCGCGGAGAGGTCGAAGTGTGCTTGAATGTGCAGGGAATGAGAAGAAGGTCGACCACAGACCTGGTAATGTGCATCAATTCGATGATATCATATTCTGTATATTTCTGTATGATTCTTTGGATTATTTGTTTGTTTTACCGATACCCAGCTGGTACTCATCGCACCAAGATCTGCCCAAGGACTGGCTCCCAAAGGAAGCCAGGGAATCTTTGACGTGTCATCCATACCAAGTAACTGGGCTCACGGGAAACTGGCGACATCCGCTGTCCACTTCATCCCCCCGTAGTGCAAAGAATTGGGCGACTCCGAGGCCAGAAGCCTTGTGTGAGACATTCCAAGACTACTTTCCAAAAACAATCAAGGGCTCTTCCACTTCGACCCTCTGACCGGTGCAACTCGTAGGGTGTCTGAGGGTGACTGGATATGAAGGGACCGCAAGAATCTGCAGATGTGGGGGGGCATCAGCCACCCTCATCCCCTCATCAGTTGCACCAGTCAGTTGGATGGAAAGGAACACCTGGTGCCCAGCTCCACTTCGCCACGGTGCTGCGCCCGCGGCCATCGGCGCAGAACGCGGCGCAGAACGCGTTCGTCCGTGGAGGACGAGAAAAACCGTGGCTCGAATCAACGCGTTGCGGAACGGCAAAGTGCCCTGCTATGGGGCGAAGTCTTGGGGTTTATCGATCTATCCTTCTTTTTGTTGGTGATCACGTAGATTTTTGGAGACACCCATGACTTAGCAAATGCGAGACTTAAGATCCCGAAGTGTCCAAACTCCCGACGTGTCCCCAAACTGGCAGATACATAAAAGAACATCAAGAACCGTCCCAGGTCAGTCCCAGTCCGTTTCAGTCGCCTCGAGGATCACCTGGCTACCTCGATGACCAACTAAAGCGAAGGCTTGCAGGACGTTGGCCAGGCCTGGCGGCTACCGTCGACACGTCCTCGGGGGATGCGTCTTCGGGAGATGGAGATGCGAAGGGCCATTAGGAGACTCAGTGTGTTGGCTTCGCGATGGTCCCCTAAGCACTCTCTTGGCTTGAGGCCTCAATGGAACATCCAAATATTTGTATGTATATACATTACTGTATGTTTTTTTGTAGGTGGCTTCAAAGGATAGGCGGCCCCACAAACGTTCCTCACAGAAAGTTTTGTCTTAATCCCTAGGGTTCCTGGCCCACCCCTGGCCCATAATCGAAACGGAGGTGATTGGTGTTCAAACGGATGAAAAGCCTTAGAAAAGCCACACAGTCTTGCCGGCGGCTGTGCATCCAAGCGATTTCTGTACACAGGATGGCTGGCGCATGCAATCCCACCACAAGAGAGCAAGATTCCCGAATGGTGCAGGACTGTTGCTGATTTCAACAGAATCATCCTGGAGTAAATAACCCTTCCATGATCAGAAACCATATGTCTTCTTGAGTTGTTGTTCCATTTTATCTAATCTCCACCATCTCCGACCTCACATCCCATGACGGCCCACATTGATACCCCAAGCGAGTCGTCACATGTTAAACGGAGAGTCGTCACTCCCACTTAAATGGACTGATGGACTGAAAAACGGGGAACTGCCAGCCACCTAACTGGATATCCACATCAATATCACTTCACAAATATCTCAGGTATGCCCTCGGAAATGGCTAGCGGCTACCGCCTACATGTCCTTTTGCTTCATATTCTGTAAAGAAAATTCTGCCACCCCCCAACTCATTCAAATCTCACTAATATTCCACCCTACAAGTACGAACAGCTGCCTGTCCCACAGTCCACTTCCATGTGTTCGGGCTGTTGTACCTATAATGTTGTTTCTTTTCTGAAGCCAACAGTGCATCATCCCTTCAAACCATCAGCCGGATCAAGGGGATCTTCAAAGAAAGGCCAGTGGCGCTATCTGGCGTAAAGTCCTGGTGTCTTTGAGCCTGAGCCCACGATGTCATTGGCGCCCGTGTTTCGGTTTCGGTCGAGTCGGATAGAACAGATCGAACAAAACAAAGATCAAACGATCAAGTAGTGCAAATGTTACCCTGTAAATCCAAACAAACGGACACCTGTTTGCACAGAAAATGTAGTGGACATTCTGTACAAAGGCTCTGTAAATATGCACATATGATCTCATATATCGTCATACCATATTATATCATCCGGTTCAAGCTGAAGTTGCTCGCCAAACTGATACACTGCACTCTTAGGTCTGCACCACATCGCATTTTACAGCCTGGCCAAAGGGAGCTCCAAGCTGGTGCAAACACGTTGGCCGAACGGAACGGATTTGGGCTCGCCCTCGCCATCCCGCTTCACATCCATTCCAGTCCCGCTCTCAAGGACGTCCCCAAACAGTTGCCAACGAGCCTGGTGGCTCCCCAAACACCCCGACCCATCCATTGCTTCGCCAAAAGAAGCGCCAACCGCACCGGGGACGCCACCGGCGGTTTTCACACCCAGCAGGTCGTTGGCCTCGAAGAGCTCTTCGGATCGGTAGCGCACGAAGGCGAAGGCCCAAACCAAGAGCGCCACCTGACTGAGCTGGCGCTATAAGCAAAAGACCGATGAGCTGGCGTGTGTGTATGTGTGTGTTTTGTTGTTTTTTGTGAGAGAAAGATGGACTGGGTGGCCACGACTGGGTGGGCAATCGTTCCGGTCGGGGCCGACGATGTCACGAAGCCGCCGGCAGTTGTGTGAGGGACCTCGTGGTCAGCTGGTCAGCTTGATGTGCTTCAATCGGAAGACTTCAGCTGGCTTTCAGCCACCAAACAACCGGTTACCTTGCATGCGCATATAAGGAGTTGTATTTATATGCTTATTTCATCCCCCTTGTCTGGTGGTAAGTCCTGGCAGCGTGTCCTTTTATAAAAAAAAAAACGGCTATGAAATACGTTGGGCATCATTATTCTCTATAAAATGAATAGCCGTCCTTTCTATAAAATGCATAGCCATATCCAGGCCTCTCAAAACCAAAAGGCTACAGATCACAGCTTGGATCTATAAAATGATTTGCCTTGAACCGATACCATAATATCAATTTATAAAATGAGTTGGCCTCAGAATACTGAGACCTTTTTTGCAGTCATTTAACACAAAACGCTAGGATGTCTATAAAGTGGTTTTGCTGTAGAATCATAGACAATCATCGGGAACCAAAAGTGTGTTTAATCTATTTATGAACTGAGTTGTCTCACTTTGGCATGGTCTTAGCAGCAATATCCTCCTTTCTCCAGTTGATCTTTCTATGAAATGATGTTGTGTAGATTTATGTTCCGATGTCCAAACTCATGTTTTGAATAAAACGACCTGTGTTCAGACCATTTCATAGTGGAAACAAATACGCATTTCATAGAGGATCAATCATGCGGGATCTTATTTCAATTTATGTCATAGAGAGGTACTGAGAGACTTGAGGTTAAGACATCCCAAGACGCCATGTTGAGAAGGTCATCTCCATCTTTGTCGACGTCAAAAAGTCTCTCCTTCAAATCCTAGCCGACAAGATCCGACGTTTGTCGTTAGAAGTGTTTGGTTATGACATTGCTTGCCCTCCCATGAACGACATCTTAGAGCCTACCAGAGGGTTCATGTTGAAACTCTTTGCCAGTTGTCATTTGGTCATGGTTCAAACAAGAATCAGCTCAGCAGCAAAATGCGCGGCTCATGCTTTTGCTTTTCCTGCACAAATCATGGTGACAAAGCGACGTCCTCGCCGACGTCCTAATTCAACTGCAGTCATCCTCGCCCCTGCAGTGACAAACCTTCTTGTTGAAGGTTCCGGAGGTCGTCTTCATGCCATAGACTTGATCTAAGTCATCAAAGTCACCGAGCATTTTGCCACCATAGGCAGTACCAAATGTCCTCACACAGAACTTTTTGTATGCATCTTCATATCCGATGCTCTTGTGCCCAGGCATGGTCGCCTTCCACGGCATTTTCCTGGCACGCCATTGCTTATATTGCTTGAACCGGCCAGCTTTCCACTCTCCTGTGGTTGCCAACTGACATAGCTTTTCCTTACAGGCCCATTTCATCCACTTCGAACCTTTGTTCCAGAACTCGCTCCCCTCTTTGGCTTCGCAGTAGTCGATTTCTTTCGGTTTGTCCATATGTTCCACCACCTTGCTGTGTCGAAAATCAAATGAAAATAAACAACATCATTAGCCGTTAGCATATCTTGCATAACCCCCTTAGCAGATTTACCAACTTCTTAATGGGAAGATCAAACATACTCAAAAAACATCTCCAGCAAATCCAAGCAACACAGTGCTCGAGCGACATAAGCTTCTCAGAACGTTCGTACAATCTGCCGTAGATGAAGGGGCGCACAAAGCGGCCCGCCTTGTGGAACCACAGGAAATATTCACCACACAACTCCTTCTCGATATTGACCTCGAAGAACCACGTAAACACCCCATCGCTGCTCCTCATCCCTTTCAAATCTGCCGTCAACGACAAGGGGGGGGGCTTTCGATCAGAACAGTCAACCTCGTGCTCGTCTGTCAGCTCCATTTGGTTCCTCTCAAAGCGAACTGCTGCCACAAGGCCAAGGATAGAGAGCCAAACCATGGTGGGCATGGCGGGCGGCATATCTAAGATTCTCAGGCGACGGCCGCTAAGGCGAACTTCACAAGTTCTTGCGGGTCGACTGTGAGCGGGTCGATGAAACGAAGAACGACAAACAGTTTCATGATCAGGTCCAGTCATCCATTGGTAAAAGGATGTAAAAAGAACATCACCATCCCAGAAAGAACCGAATCGACAACTCCATTCCTAAATGGCTTTCTAGTCCCAAACGGAAAACATTCCTGCCATTCCCAAACTGGCCAGGGCATCCCTCGATCTTCTCCACCGTCTGCCCCGGCATCATCCGCCTGTTCCGGCTGAAACTCCTCCAGGCGCTTTTTCGCAGAGTTCCCCAGGCCTCTCAAAAAGCCAGCTCGCGGCGACCGACGTGGCATGCTTGGTCTTGAAGCGAGAAGCATCATTGGTGTGGGACGTTCCGCGGGGTGTCCGAGAAAATAGATACACTCCGACTCACTCACACGGAAGTGGATGGCATGGTCCCTTGGAAGACCACTTTCCTTTACGAACAGGGCACACCCCATCCACTTCGATGTGTTCGTCGCGTTCGTGCGACGGACGAGCCAATTCATCGGTTCGGGATCCCAACTAGCCCACTGGAAAGTGGATTGGGACATGTTCGGACCCAGGCATGGTGTTGGTTGGGGAGGCCCGCAGAACTCATGTCCCATCTCAAGCGACGAAGTCAAACTGGCTCATGTCCCATCACGCTTTGGAGAAATGGATACGATAAGCATGCGAAAAGGGAAGAATGGATCAACAAACCAAGTTTGAGCCGGCTCGCCATGATTGGATCTAAGATCTTTGAACATCAAAAGTTGCCACTGCACATGCTGTGTCAACTCCGTTCACGACAAAGACCATCAAAGACCTACGCAAATCTGTCTCCCTGGGGGTTTGGGATCACTCATCCTCACGTGAACCATTGGTCGACCGGAAATGGACCAATCTGGCTCAACATGGAGGTTCTCGACTGGCGAAAAAATGCTGCGCCCCCTGTTTTCTGCCTCTGAAGATTTCTGGGTGCGGGTGCCCAGACATAGCAAAAGCCCAGGTACAGTTCGCAATGTCCTGGGCCCCAAGCGATAGCTTGGCTCCCACCGGAATCCAAATCATCCAACAAAGCATTATCAAGAACTTGTTGTTGGTAAAGGAAGTTCTTCCCAACCGCCATGGCCTTACCCCTGCCGCTTGATCATTTGAACAAAAATCCAATAATCATCCAATAACACTGATTGTTTTTTTGCCTGATGATTGTTGATTATCTGATTGATTGATTGCTTGGTTGCTTGCTTGCTTGCTTGGATACTGATTGATCGATACTGATTGATCGATACTGATTGATTGATTGATTGCTTGCTTGCTTGCTTGCTTGATTGATTGATTGATTGATTGAGATCGGGATTGGGATTGGGATTGGGATTGGGATTGATATTGATATTGCTATTGCTATTGCTATTGCTATTTGCTATTTGCTATTGCTATTGATATTGATCGGTTTATACTGGTTGATATTGATAAATATTGCTTATATTGATTGAGATTGAGTGCTTATGATTGATCTTTGTTGATTAGGATATATTAGGGTTAGGATTGATTATGATAAATTATGATGGATTATGAATTATGATTATTGGTTGGTTGGTTGGTCGGTTGGTCAATTTGGTTGGTTGGGGTTGGTCGGTTGGTCAATTTGGTTGGTTGGTTGGTTGGTCGGTCGGTCGGTGGGTTGGTTGGTTGGTTGGTTGTGTGTCCATGTTCTTTTGGTTTGTGCGTGACCCGGTCTAAACAAGGGCGACCCAGTATGAAAGGAAAACACAAGAAAGACTAAGGAACCAAACACCCTTTCATACCCTTTCCCTTCCGCAGGCAGAGTTGGCCTCCGCCGACCTTTTTCACTGTGGGATGCCCTCGTGGAGCAAGGTCTGGACGAGCTCTGGAAAGACATGGAGGTGTGTTTCACAATGATCTTGAGAATGTCTGAAGATCGTGAATGCATGGATCACGCACCTTCACCCCCGAATAAACAGCAAGCCTCATTACGTGAAGGGTCTACACTGTTTGTGTCAAAGTACACATAAATAAGAATATGAATCAGTCATGACGCTTTGCACACACTGGCGAATAGAGCTGTCATCAAGTGCAGTGGGCCACGTCTTCTCAGGACAACCAGGCAAACCGATGGTGCTCACAGGCACCTTGCATTGGGCACCACTTGACGGTGTCAACCATACGAGGATACCTGTTGGTCTCCTCTTCCTCCGGGCTCCCATGATTAGAGACTCAATGTCAAGCTTCCAAGGCTCGGTTCGGGACCTTTTACACAAGCGAATATGGGGTGTGACTCGTTTTGAGTTGCATTTGGCATACACAGTCAGTCAAAATGTACAGTCCAACTTTACGTAGTATTGCTATCACTGCACATAAATGTACACCGTTAGCAACGCTGCGTAAAGTTGAGTATGATGTGTATAGATATATAATGTCGTGCTGCTTGACTTTGTTGATTGAACAGCGGCCTGCTTCTATTATCTTCTATTTGTGAAGATTTGCTCAAACATCTTCTGTATCTGACTGTCGGATAGATCCAGCACACTAATCGTCACATCAGTTGTATGGGTTGGAGCATAACGCCTTCATAGCTCCTTGACAACGTGTTGGACACTTTGCTGTGCGATGCAAACCGCAGGGCAGTAGTATACGATAGTTGGACTACCGTCCTAACTAGCCAGCTGGCTAATACGAACCCCTGGGCAGCTAGAGCCGTACCTTGAAGCCGCTGATGTTTGTTTATGCCGGTTCTACCTGGCGATGTTTTACCAAATCTTCAAAAACCCAACGTTTAAAAACAGTCAAGAACGCCTCAAAATGTTGCGTGTTTGCACTCAAGCGCTCACTGCGGTTCTGTGTCCCGACGTGTTTGGCACTCGATCTTCAATCGAACCGTCACCCAAAACCACTGGACGATGCCCTCGACACACGCGGAGTCTTCGCACCTTCGCCTGGTCCCTGGTCCCTTCCCTTCGTGTCCTGAGGCCGCAGGGTCTCACCCGCGCTCGCCAAGACCTGCAAGCTCGGAGTGGCGAAGCGGAATTCGGCGAGCTCGCGGAATGCGGCGCCTGTTGGGCCAACTCTGCTCGGGGGGGCATTTGGGTGGTTTTTGCATGTGGTTGTCGATGTTCATGTTCTGTCCATGAATTGCTGTTCCATGCTTTTCCAAGAGTAAACACTCAAACCGAATCAAACCGACATGACCTTGAACATCCGACTCGCTCGAGATGTCTATCACGGGGGGGTGCAACCGGTGGCCTCGGCCGCATCATCGAACAGGTTCGCGCTGAAGACCTGCAAGTCAGGCGGTGAAGACCTCGAATCCTTGATTTACAACGGTGGAAACATGTGGAAATGGTTGCAGGTAACGGAACTCCAACACGTTCGAGTCCCATGGCTCGTGCTCTTGAGTCACTGTTTGGAGCCGTGTGACTGCAACATACGGGCACATGCGCATCTCGGAAGAAAGGAATTCGAACAATACCCAGACACGACCCATGGGACTGGCATATTGACCTACATTGACCCCGACTTCAAGCACCCCTGGCCTGATCGGTAGTCCTATGCCAGTCCCATGGGTCGTGTCTGGAATATATCATGAATCGAACAATACATGACCCTTCTGTTCTTCACCAATCAACCTCAGAACTTCACCGAGAGAAGTAGAGATCTGCCGCTCCATGAGCTAGAAGTAGCCATTTTGTAGCCCCTATCAGAAGGGGCCCTGAAGAGACTGTTGGAGACTTCTTGGGTAGAAATAGGTTCCCTTTCGGGTCGGCACAGAAGACCGAAGGACAGAAGGCGAAGACGCTCCACATCTGACATCACTCATCACTCAGCGACGCTTTGCAGGGCCGGGACTTCCAATGAGTTTCCATGGGCCCCTGAGACCGATCAATTTGGTATATGGGAATGATTTATCATTGGAACCCAGGGTTCTGCGGACCTATCATTGAACCCCTGGAATAATTACAGTAAATAATCAATCCCATATCATTTGATGGGGGTGCTGCGGAAAATCCTCGTGCCCAGATCGAAGTCCGTGATGTCCGTGTATCGATGGGCGCCTTGACCTTGGCGAAGGAGGTGAGGATCGCCACCAAGCTCCTTAGGCGAGAGAAGAACATCCGCTTTGCCATCTTCGAGCCAACCAACTGAAGCAAATCCATTGCCAATGACACGGCCAATGACCTAAAAACCACTCTGTTTCGGACTGAAGTCTTTCGTTCCATCGCACCGGACCGAACCTTCGCACCGGACGACTCCCGGGAAACCTCCCGGTGACGTGCCGGGCGCAGAAACACCGAAAAGACACGTCGGTGTTAACTAAGACTTCCGGGGTCTCCAAATAGATCGTGGCACGGTGTCCACCTTTTTTTTCGTAGGGAATTTACGAACTTCTTTTTATTTGGTGACCACTATACTATGTAAAATGTTCTGAACGACAAGGGAATGTCTTAACCCCGACGATGGCCCATCGTCAAGATGCCTCCCGCGGCCGAGCACGGCAAGAGCCCTGGTGGCCCAGATCACATGGGGCACGCGTTTACGGGCCGGATCTGTGGGTAAAGCATGGTAAAGCCGAGCGTCTCAGACGTCAAACGAGTCTTTCCAGAGACAACGACCTACATGACCGAATTACACTCGGTGTCTCCTCAAAAAAACGTTTTGCCCCAGTACCAAGGACATCTTTGGATGTTTGAAAGACTGCTCCACCTTTTGCGATGACTGTATCTTCACTGACTTCGTACCGCTTGGGCCGCCCAGTTCACCGAAGGTACCGACTGAGCATCTCAGACGCGGCGAGCCCTTGTTGGTCCACGCGCCGTCAGAAAAGGACCAACGACCCTGACACGTCCCCAAAAAGCCAGTTACTGATACACTCTGACGAAAACGAAAAAGAAATGGAACCGAGTGAAAGACCGGAACTGGATGGAACATGGATGCCCATGGTCCCGAAAGGAAAACGTTTCTTCTCTTCTATTGATCATGACGGGGCTTGCCAATCGCCACTTCGTCCCCGGAGCCCGAACGATCGCGAGGAGAGGTCCAGCGAAGAAGGACCGGCGTTTGTTCTTCCTCCGCCGTTTGTGTGGAAAAGGGTCCTTCACTGAGTCCTGCACTCCCCATCATACCCCTTTTTCATCCTTTTTCCATCTTCCGGATGGGAAAGGACCCTTTTCTTTCAACCGTTTTCCAGGTGCGGCAGAGCCGTGGCACCGGATGTGTTGAACTCACCCGCAGTTGCCGCACCGCCGTGGCACCGGCGACCGGAGCCATCGCTGCCAAGCGGCTCCTTGCTGAAATCAGCAATTCCTCGGCGTTGGAAAAGCATCATCTGCAGAACACAGCGTGAACACTATCTGCAGAACTCGGCGGCACACCATCTCGTAGAATATAGAACACAATGTGTGGTGCAGTGTTTTTCACAACATGTGTCAACATCCAATGCATGATTGATGACGATGGATGGACGATATTCTACATCATCCTGGGGACATCTTCATCAACGAAGACTCTGGTCAACTGATGTCGTCCATAGTACTCTCAGGACTTCAAAAGGTCAAACCCCTGTCCTGATAAGGTATGACTTCCCAACATCGTCAGTGGGGTTTTGGTCGAAGTTGATCGCCTTCCTTTGAAGGAAATGGCGGGATGGCTCGATCGCCAACAAGGTCCCGCCCCTATAAGGCAGTCAGCGCACTGGGCTCGATGGTCTCAACAGCTGCCCTCAGTTGTCCGCTTGGTTCGAAGCAAAAAGGGGGGTCCTTCAAAAGGCTTCTTTGCTCGTCCAATAGGGTGGAGGCCATCGCTACTAGGGTGGAGGCCATTCCCATGAGGTTGGAAGCTATTAGGTTGGAGGCCAATATGCTTTAGTAGGCTGTCACCCAGCGCACTGGAGCAAGAAGTGACCTTCTTGCTCCACCGAAAATGACTGCCAAGTGGCCCTGTCCCGTAAATGGCAGCCCCAAACCAAGGTGTTGGTGAAAAGAATAGAAGAATAACTTAAAAGAATACCCCTACTGGATGATGTATCTTGGGACTGTAACTGATTGGGACTGTAACTGTATCTTGGGATAAGTCTAGGTGTTTGCAAGGTGTTTGCCCATGTCTCCAAGTAGGTCACTTCAACCACCGCTCTTGACCAATTTCCAAACCCGTAGCATACATCTGCGCTGCATAGAGCGACCGCTGATCAGTTGGCACATCCGATTCTCTGTCCCTTCGGCAGGGGAGGTTCCGACGAACCGCACTGAAGAGTTCCAGAACCTCCACCGCCGATTCCATCTGCCGATATACAAGAATATCAACAGCGGCTTGTGGCGGCGGACCCAACCCGGTCCAATATATATACTCATTTATGCTCATCTATTATATATATATATATACAGTATATGATATACAAGCACCACAGAGTTCGCGTGGTTATTGGATGGAACATATTTAGTCAGGGGTGTCTATAAACCACCCTTTACAGTGGTGCTATTCTATATTTGCATACGTATCTATATACAGTATATATAGTATATTGTAAGCTTGATGTTCACAGGTTGTCGGACCACCTTGGGCAAAAATAGACAAACATTGGCTAAATTGGCTTCAGGACTTCTCTGTGGTAAGCCATGTAGAGGGGAAACGTCCCCTGTCCAACTTGATACGGGAGGACATCACCTTAAGCGGTCACCTCAAACGGATGGTCACCTCCCGAAGATGGTTGAGAACGTCTATTGCAGGTCACTGCCTCGTGGGATAAGATCTTCGTCACGAACAGGGCCCAGGATTTTTGGAGCCTCCACCAATGATAATCCTCTCTGTTGCTTGGGACTAGGCCGCCACAGTCCTTTATCATCTGTTTACACAAAAAGACACCCCAATATACTCAAACGATACAAGAACCCTGTTCTACAAGAATACGGTGAAGACAAAGGGTGAACAAATACCTGCAGAGTTCGGGAAACTCTGGGCCACCACGCCCAAAGAAGGGCCCAGGCTCTTTCATGCCCAAGGAAGCAAAGGCCCAGAGGCAGTTCCTCATCGCTCCACGCTACGGCACGAGTTACAGGAGAGTCACATCGAGAGCCACCATGGTGTCCTTCCAACCAGCCGGTTGGGGTGACTCAAATCCTTTACGATTCACAGATGCACGATCAAATCCGAACATGCAACAGCACAAATACACAGTGAAGAGTCGAGGGGGGCACCATGTCACATGTTTCTTAAAGAAACTCACCAAGGAAATAAACGGGAATAGTATGACAGTAGGGATCAGAGATGGTCAGAGTGTCCTCATTGTTCATCAAGTGACTCACATGATCGGGTGACTCCACACAAACAGTTCCACGGTCAGTTCCACGACCCACGACCCACGCGCGTTCCAACGACTTCCCAGTGGCTGAAGCTGGTGTGGACTAAAATGTGGAAAGCGTGGCTTCACCAGACTGTCCGAAATTCCGGCGACGTGTTGCTCATCGGAGGGCACCGGTGTGGAAAAAAAGAATTTTATGTATCTATAGCGATGGCCTCCACCGTGCTTGGCTTCTTGTTACGAGTAATGGCCTCCAACCAAATAGCGATGGCCTCCACATATATATATAATATGATAACATTATGTATTCTCCCTAAAGGTAACATGATGTCATTGGTAGATATTGGTAGAGGGATATAACATGGCCAAACACTGTGGATATATAATCCGCTAAAGGATGTTGAAAAGGATGTTGGCACACAGAAGGATGCTCCAAAATGCTTTTCTTCACGACCTTGGAGTGTAGGAAACAAGGTCAACAGCAGCCTGAAGGGTTGGGACGACCTTATCATGATGACATCTCATCACAACGCACGGTCACTGGGTTAGCCAACTCTCCAGGTCCATCTGACTATAGCTGACTTTCCAATCGCCTTCGGAAAAAATTAAACATAAAAAGCAAGCTTCAGGGGTTCAGAGCCCATTGTAAAGCCTAGCACTTGGTGGACTGGTGTGGCCGCCCGCCTAGGTGTGTTTTGGTCACACCTTCACGGTCCAGAACCTCACCAGACTCCTCTTCTCTTCCATTCCGAAAAAATGTCGTCGTTCATGCCTGGCCTGGCAAGGCTAAAGAGCATCTCGTCATTCCGGTAGCCTGGAATCATGGAAGCGGATGGTTTTCATGATTTTCCACTTCCATGATTATTTCAAGCAGTTTTGGAGATGCAGCATCCAACCTGGAGAGCCTCCCTCGCTCTCACCTCCCCTGGCGGTGTCCACGACTAGACCCCAAAAACACCTGGTTGTTGTAGGTCAATTCAACACGATAGCCACCAGTTGACCCACACCTGGACCAGTGTTCCTGGCGAGTCTCCACGACCCACGCCTCTTCATTGACCCACAGGTGTGGCTCCCCAACCGGTCTGGCTGGACCACGGACGTGACCCTTTGGCTCCAGGTCCCGCACGGAGGAGGCCCAAGGCCCAACTGATGGCCGACAGGGTCCACGCCAGCTGAAGCCCTTGGTCCTCGCCATCGTCAGAGGAGTCCTGTCGTTCGACATCGCGTTCTTGCGAGCTCAAGAGGCGGAGGACGGACTTGGCCAATTCGGCCAGCAGGATGGGATTTGGCAAGCGTTGGGCAGAGAAGACACTGCTTTAAAGGATAGATATCTCTAGGAAAAGAACCCTTCCAGCAAAAGATTGGTGCCGCCCGCGCCGCCCTCGGTGCGCGGATCTCTCCTCAGACTCGTCGGCGCGTTCAAAGCCTGAAAGGGTGCAGCGAAGGGCGTTTTGCACGGTGCACAGACCCTTGGAGATGCAAAGAAAGCTCTCACAGTTAAAGATCAAATCACCCAGCTAGAACCAAAGTCGCATTAGTGCAAACGTCGCATTCGAGATCACTGAACACAGCCAGACTGGTGCTTTTACCTGACCCAACCTAATCAGCCTAGTGATGCTAGATGCCGACCCAAATGAAGCACACCTTAAGCATCATCGGGTATAAACTCCACAAAGGAAAAGATAACAACACTCTCAACAATCATCTTCCAAACCCCAAATGCAGGTCCCTTTTCTTGTCCAATGAAGCTGCTGTTCTGAAAACGCCTCCTCTGCGATGCGATTCCGTCAGCACCATACCTTCTACCTTAGGAGCAGGGCTCAGAACGGCCCCTGAAACAAGCCACGAGGCATGTGGGCAAAAGAAGCTGGAGAAGAATCTATCAAATTGGATGGGTTAGATAATGCAAAATACATGTAAACACACAGGTCACAAGTCTTTCTCTCTCTCTCTCTACAAATATACAACTATTAATAACAATAGTAACAATAATCATAGTAATAGTAGTATAAAACATATGTAATATATATATATACATATATAAGTATATATAGATATACTGGATCTCGTGGAAACATCTTCCTTAAACTACTGGAGGCTAGATTGAACTATCAAAGACACCATGAGTTTTTCCTCAGCTGGACAGGTTCCCCTCAACAAACTAGGACTCCATCTAAGGCAATAGCATGTCGGAGAAGGTTGAGGAGCTTCGGGTTGGGCGGCTTCTGCTCCTGCCATTCGCACCAAGCATGTTGAGTGACTGATCTGATCCGCCTGTTAGGATGGGAAGGAGCGACCGCACCCTCCCAACTGGAACTATCTTCAAGATCCTCTTATGGCCGCAGGTCAAAACCAGAAGACCTTGGTTTGACCTACCTGGAAGGTCAAGCTTATATGGTCTGGTTGCTCCAGGTATTGATCCATCATCCCAGAAGCGTTTTGCCCGCAAACCCTCTCAGGTCCCACCACCGAACCCACGCAAACGCAGCAGGAGGACCTCCTCCTTCCTCTTTCTTTCCGCCTGGCGCGGATCCACAAGCATGGACGACTCTAGCGGAACATGGACTCCCACTCCCAACATGTTGTCAAATCCTCCAAAAAGAAAGGGATGCGAAGCGGGGAACCCTCCGCTGGCGCATTGAGGGAGGGTATGTAGGTATGCCAGACTGAGACAAGGGTATACCGGTTCTTTGGATTGCCTTGACCTTCGGTCCAACACTTGAAATCCCAAAATTGTCATGGAATCACAGACACTCCCTGGAACTAACATGGAAGTGGATGGCCTGGCCCCAAGTTCGGAAGACCATGGTTTTCCACTACCAACAGGTGGTGCCATCCACTTCCATGTTAGTTCCGGGGAGAGTGTACGTTCGGTCCAACACTTCCGAACCTCGGTAAGACAAACCATAGACCAACATGGACTACGGATCCAAATCAAGCCTTAACCGGTCAATCCTGAAAAATCATGCAAGTCCAACAGCTTCATGTGGTGAAACATATGGGTCTCTAGCTCAAACAAGGAGACCTCCCAGTTCAACCCCCAGTTCAGGCTCGTTTCCAAACGCACCAGTCAACCCATCAACCCCCGAACACCTCCAGCATCCTCGCCGCGCGGATCAAGGCAAATGCCTGGGATCCCCAGAGACCCCCCCAGTGCCGATCGGCTCGGCTCTGAAACTCGAGACCGTGGGGAGGTATAGAAACTTCCTGAGCAAACACTCTTTGTTCCTGACATGAAAAAGTCGACATGAGATCGAACCTATCGAACCATCCGTCACCGTCCGGAAGTGCTGTCCCTTAGTGCTGTCACGGGACCATCGGCACGTGTCGGTGCGTAAACCACGACGAAACCACGACGCGTCCCGGGACGGGACGAGAAGACGCCAGCGACGAACGGGGCCGACTCTTCCGAACAGTGTGAGAAGACGCAAGCCGGTTGACAGATTGATGTTTGTCAAGGTCAGAAACAAAGAAATCTCACCAATTCATTTCAACACACATGGAGCACTGTGCGACATGTGGACATTTTCATCGGCATTCATCTCACATCCAATGTGGGTGTGTATGTTCCTTCTTCCCTGTTCCGGACGGTGCGGCTCGGTCTCCCCGGCAGCATTGATGCTGCTCAGCTCTGTCAAGTGCGCGTCGGTGATCTCCAGCAGCTGCTCCAGGTCTCTGGCCGATGCAGCGTCCGCCAGGGATTGGTAAAGCTCCTGCCGTCACCGTCGCGGTCGCCGTCGCGGGCACCGTACGCGGTGGTGCGATCGACCTGCAAAGGCGTCCGGACCCCCCGACCTGATCCGGGAGGGGCGAAAGAGTGTGGGCGATCTGGGTGGTGAAAAACCTCTCTTGGTGGCATGGAGAAGTGCAGAACTTCAAAAAAGGTAGGCAAAGCTGCAGATTGTACTTGATGCCTGCAGCTAAACAAGTACATTGGAAAACTAATGGCTCAATGGCTAAGCCTAAGGACGGTGTCCTTTGGCTTTGGGTGTTCCGAGCAGATCTACACAGTTCTGCTGCGCCATCCGCAGTCATCGGACGGATCCGTCGACGAAGGAGTCTGTTCGTCTGCTGTTCCAAACCATCTCTTGGAACCAAAAAGGTCTCCCCAATTGGAGACAAAACCCATTGTGACTCACTGAATCGGCCAACACATCTGGGTAAATCCGATCCTTTGACGCACTCCACTTGAGTTGAAGTTCCTGTCGGGGATGGCCCTTCTCAGTCGAAGATTGGCTAAGCTTGCGGCCTGATCTTGAACTTTGGGCACCTCAGCCTGAGCGACGCAGAGACATAAAGAAAGCTTGGCACAGCACTCAACTCCGCCCAGAAGCTCGGGATGAAAACCTCCACAGTTTCTGTAACTGCTATCAATCTCCGGTCTGCTGACATGAATTGCAGCTGATTCAGACTGGAGTGCAATTACTTGCAATGATCCAATGTTCTTGCTCGATGGCATTTGTTGTTGACATCGAAATGCTAGATTTGTTGCTCATGTGCCACTCCGTGCCTCCAGGATATCTGACACTGCCCATGAGGCTCCTCCAAAGTCTCGCAAATCCTCCAAGCAACTTCAAAATCAACTGACAAAGAAAAGTGGCTTTAGAATTCCTTAAGGCCTTGTGAATTCATCTCCTCCTATCAAAACTCAAACCATACTCAAACCCATTTTTGGAGTTGCTTAAACAATTATGTTTCTCGAGCTCCATGTGCAGGTCGCAGCTGCCAGACCTGCGATAACTCACCAGCATCATACATGTGCGAGGAGGTCTTTGCACCTGGCAGAGGAAGACGGATGGAGCGAAGGCGGAAGAAGGAGTTGGGTCTAAAGTTCTAAAGGATCGGCATGTCGACAGGTTCCCGAGGTTTGAGACATTCTCGAGATCGATTCGGGATCTGGCGAATTTACCTGGTGAAGGGACTTGAAATGAGTTGGGGGGCCGGGGTACTCCAGCCTCATCTGAAGAACTGTAATTAACGCAAGAAAAACATCTTGGCAATGAACAGTCGTCGACATGGTTGATGTCAATCGCAGAAAACGATCGACAAATGGCAGAATCTCCGTTGTCTCCTATAAACGAGTCAAAACGGTCTTCCGGTCCTGATTTCTCTCCCGAAGGAGCTACACCACTTGCATGGCTTTGACAATCAGAGTTGATTTCCAGCAAGTTGTGAAGTGGAGACAAGGAAAATCGTGACCACCTTCACCGGTGGAACAAGCCGATTCCGATACAAATGAACTTTTGGTCTTCGTGAAGTCAAATGCAGGAAACCAGGTCTTCTTCATCGACCTTGTGGGGCATCCGAAAAAGGTCTCAGCTGAGCTCTTTTCACGCATCTGTCCAACTGCTGTCGTCGCTGATCAGAGCGAAAAGCAGGCGAAAATGGCCCGCATTAAAGTGGTGGACGATGGTATGGTACAGCCATGGCGTCAGGGTGGCACCATGGAATTAAGTCCTTTTACACTTGGAAGATGGAACTAGTGGCAGCCATTGTGAAATTGTTGATCTCCATTTTCCTTCTCATAGTTGCCTCGGAAAACAGTCAAACACTGATGGAACGAAACACGATCATCAAAAACACAACGGATCTCTTCCCGTCAACGGCCAGTGCGGGTTTGTGTTCTTTTAAGCAAAGCATGTCCGTTGGACATCCGTTCGGTTCGGCGGCCTCCGTTCCCCGGCTCCAACTTTTGATAGATCCTCATCTTATTGGCTCCATCCTTGGTGGCTCCATCTACGATCCAGTGGCGGTCAGTGACTAAGTCTTCAGGTCAGTGATGTGTCTGAAAAATCCTAGTTTTGCTTGTATCATATGGATGACCTCCATGTTGGGTCATGTTCAAGTTACCATCTCTATCTCAAATTTCAAGTGAATTTGGAACACGAAGAGCTTTAACTTGGTGTGTATGTCAGAACACGGTAAACTGTGATGTTCAGAACACCGCCTTGGTGTTGAAAGCCACAGCTTCGCCCCAATGAAATGGATTAATTTTAACACTTGTGGCCCAGAGGGGGGTGGCGAAAGCTAGGCAAATAAACAACGCTGGGGCTCTTTAGGCAGCAAAAGCCAATACGACCCCAACACAGCCAACACATGGCAACACACAACCACCCCAGCAACCGCCGCAGCAGCAGCAGCAGCAACAGCCACAACAACAATGAATGTAACCAGCAGCGGCAGCGGCACTACCAAGCAGCAGCAGAAGCAGCAGCAGGAGTAGCTAGCAAGCAGCAGCACCAGCTACCAACAAGCAGCAGCAGCAGCAGCAGCAGCAGGAGCAGCTACCAAGCAGCAGCAGCAGCAGCTGCTACCAAGCAGCAGCAGTTACCAAGCAGCAGCAGCAGCAGCAGCAGCTACCAAGCAACAGAGGCATCAGCTACCAAGCAGGAGCATCAGCAGCAGCTACCAAGCAGCAGCAGCAGCAGCAGGAGCCACCAAGCAGCAGCAGCATCAGCAGCAGCTACCAAGCAGAAGCAGCAGCAGCAGCAGCAGCAGCCAAGCAGCAGCAGCAGCAGCCAAGCAGCAGCCAAGCAGCAGCAGCAGCAGCAGCAGCAGCAGCCAAGCAGCAGCAGCCAAGCAGCAGCAGCAGCAGCAGCCAAGCAGCAGCAGCCAAGCAGCCAAGCAGCAGCCCAGCAGCAGCAGCCAAGCCAGCAAAGCAGCAGCAAAGCAGCAGCAGCAAAGGCAGCAGCAGCAGCAAAGGCAGCAGTAGCAGCAAAGGCAGCAGCAGCAGCAGCAGCAGCAAAGGCAGCAGTAGCAGCAAAGGCAGCAGCAGCAGCAAAGGCAGCAGCAGCAGCAAAGGCAGCAGCTACCAAGCAGCAGCAGCAGCAGCTACCAAGCAGCAGCAGCAGCAGCTACCAAGCAGCAGGAGCAGCTACCAAGCAGCAGCAGCAGCCAAGCAGCAGCAGCCAAGCAGCAGCAGCAGGAGCAGCAGCAGGAGCAGCAGCCGCAGCAGCAGCAGCAAAGCAGCAGCAGCAAAGCAGCAGCAAAGCAGCAGCAAAGCAGCAGCAGCAAAGCAGCAGCAAGGCAGCAAAGCAGCAGCAGCAAAGCAGCAGCAGCCAAGCAGCAGCAGCAAATCAGCAGGAAATCAGCAGCAAAGCAGCAGCAGCAAAGCAGCAGCAGCAGCAAAGGCAGCCGCAGCAGCAGAGGCAGCAGCAGCAGCAGAGGCAGCAGCAGCAGCAGCAGCAGAGGCAGCAGCAGCAGCAGCAGCAGCAGCTACCAAGCAGCAGCAGCAGCAGCAGCAGCAGCAGCAGCCGCGGCAGCAGCAGCAGCAGCAGCAGCAAAGCAGCAGCAGCAAATCAGCAGCGAAGCAGCAGCAGCAGCAAAGCAGCAGCAGCAGCAGCAAAGGCGGTAGCAGCAGCAAAGGCAGCAGCAGCAGCAGCAAAGGCAGCAGCAGCAGCAAAGGCAGCAGCAGCAGCAAAGGCAGCAGCAGCAGCTACCAAGCAGCAGCAGCAGCCACCAAGCAGCAGCAGCTACCGAGCAGCAGCAGCATCAACAGCAGCTACCAAGCAGCAGGCAGCTACCAAGCAGCAGCAGCAGCCACCAAGCAGCAGCAGCAGCAGCAGCTACCGAGCAGCAGCAGCAGCTACCAAGCAGCAGCAGCAGCAGCAGCAGCAGCTACCAAGCAGCAGCTACCAAGCAGCAGCAGCAGGAGCAGCTACCAAGCAGCAGCAGCAGCAGCTACTAAGCAGCAGCTACCAAGCAGCAGCTACCAAGCAGCAGCTACCAAGCAGCAGCAGCGGCAGCCGCAGGGAAAGAGTGAGCTTTCCTGAGAGTCTTTCGTGCACCAACATTTGGTCTCAAACAACAGCACATATAGGTGCTGCCTGAGTAATTGTAGAAGGGCGACGTGGAAAGACAGATCTATCTGATATATGTTTGTTCACGAATTAATGCTGACGATGCAGCCAGCAGCGGTGTGCATGATTGACATCTAGGGGTTGTATGCGAACATGTGTCAGCGACCGAAGACTCCGTCGCAACGCTTGTGCATGCTCCCTGTCGCTTGAACATGGAACGCGGACTACCATGAGTGAAGCAAACAGCCCGTTCAAACATCTTACTGGGTTCTGTCATTCATGTGTGAAGTAAGTATCATCTTTTGATCTGCATGGATAGCGGATAGTGCATTCTGATTTGTACTGTTGGGTTGTGGGGTGGGTACATGCCTGTACAAGCTTCTTAAGGATATGATGAAATTAGCATCGTTTCACGACTCAGAGGGAATGCAACTACTCTCGATTCTAACGAATAGGCTTTCTTCAGCACCAACAGCAGCCAACAACCCCAAAGAGCAACAGCAGCAAAACGGAGCAGACAACAAGCAGCAGGCAGCCATGCAAGCAGCAAGCAGCAGCAACCAGCAAGCAGCCAAGAGCATCCAGCAGCACCAAGCATGCAAGCAGCAAGCAGCAGCAACCAGCAAGAAGCCAAGAGCCAGGCGCAGATGAGATGCCAGCAGCAGCAGCAGCAGCGACCAAGCAGCAGCAGCAGCAGCAGGTACCGAGGAGGAGAAGGGTGGAGTTGAACCCCGCGAGGGGGGGGGTGTAGTCCTGATATATCAGGTACTGGCACTCAAGTCCTGGGCTCCCACCCTCCTTGCTAAAGCAAGACAGACTCCAGCTAGCTACAGCTAGCTTTCGTGACAAACGTTTGGCAATCCAATCTCTCCTGGTGTGCCGGCTTTCTCCCACCCATCATCCCTGTAACCATCATCCCTGTAACCATCATCCCTGTGACCCTGTCCTTGTCACATCTGCGCCTCCGACGGCCACCGTCATAGCCTCTGACATAGGTCTGCTGCCAATAGCGCCTCCGACGGCGGCCCTGGTTCAGGAAACTGCCAGCAGAAGAGCTTTGGAAGCAAACCTGGAGCCCAGGGATGGACCAACTGATGGACTGCTGATGGACCGATGAACCGAACGCTTCGAACGCGTGGATCAGTCCACGGCTGGTTGAACAGTCCGCGGCTGGTTGGTCGCGTTTTGGCGTTCGTTTTGGCGTCCTCTGTGCATCGATAGAGGACTGAGCTCGAATCTTTAAGCCAACAAGGAGGCCTTGAGTATGGGACCTATCCCTATGATATTCTATTTTCATTGATTGAGGGCGGAACTCGTCGTCTGCTTTCTTTCTGAAAACACGCATTGGAGTCAACTGTCGCCCACCCCGAACCTGCCCTCACGCCCACCCCGGCCTGCCCGTACGGGCCAGTGACACCATCGAAAGCGATCCGAAACCTCTCGGTGCTTTTCTTGGCAATATGGATTCGCGTCGGAGAATTCGAAAACACCACCGTCTGATCGATCAGGCGAATGCATTTGGGATTGTTGTCTGGATCGCTGATATCAGCGAAATACATGTTGTTGAGGTACTCGTTGCAAAGGAATTTATCTTTGGTGAAGTACCAAAAGCTCTTCATCTGCTCAGCATAACTGCTTGACGTGTGGGTGCATTCGTCGAAGGCAGGTCGGCAATCTCGCCAATAGACCTCCGGGCGGATGGGACTGACGCACTGCGAGGGGCACAAACTGTAACTTGAGGTGCCAAGACCCAGAGAGCCTTCTGCACCAAGGATGAAGCGCTTCGAGACCCAGAGCAGAAGATTTGGGGGAAGACCGCATACACATAGAAGCTACTAGGTGGAGGCCACCGCTATTAGGTTGGAGGCCATCACGATTAGGTTGGAGGCCATTACTACTACATATATATATATTATATATATAGTAACAAGAAGCTACTAGCAGCTCAGGCAACACTCTATATAGTCCGAAAAGATTATCACTTTGCAAGAGAGCTTAAACCAAAAATTCCAGGACTCTTGAGCCTGGGCTAGAACATAAAACCTACACTCCTTCGGAGACGTTCAGACAACCACGGATGTGGAAGATAGGCTCCTGAAAGACCTTTCTTCTACAAAGGGGTTGTGCTCAGCTTCCATGATTCGTTTGAGGGAGGGTAGACTATAAAAACGAGGGACGTTCATCCCATAGACTATTCTCTTCCTGTCAGGTTCATTGGGGAGTACACTATGACTTGTCTAAAGCCACCTGGCCGCCGTGTAGCGTTGCAGACCCGAGACTCGTGGCCCGGCGACCTGACCGCGCTAGCGATTGACACCGAGAAGACCCGTGCTTCGTCGCGTGCTTCGAAGCAAACCTTCCCACGAAACACCCGATCGACCGAGTGAATCGCATGGGAAAAGTGAGGCCTTACCAGAAGAATCTGGCTCAAAGCAATCCTCGGTGCAGTGGTGCAGGCGATACAGCAAGGTGGTACCACAAGGACCAGTTAGACTCAAGATGAATGGTTCAACTCAGTCCAACTCTAGTCTTCTGGTACGAGCAGTAGGTGTTCAGTTGTAAATCAGAATCAACCCAGCACAGGATAGATGGAAAGAAACCACTGATGGGTCGCTATTGGTTTGTCATTCCTGTTTCAAGCAGGTTGCCTCATGCAGGTCGAGTTTCGAGACGAAACGGGAGACGAAACAGCGAGGCTCTGGGCCTCGTGTTGTGTTTTCCCTCTTGTTCTTTCCCTATGCCGAAGAATCTGAAGAATCTGAAGACGAAATGGTGAAACTCAGACCAGTTTTTGTTGGCCCAGTCTCTGGTGAGACCATAAAGCATCGATCCTGCTCGTTCTTGATGACATACTCTGTGCCATCTCCACAGCTGGAAGGACTTCCACCCGACTTACCACATTTGCCGCCCAGCAGGTTGGAGAGCTTGCACTTGATCTGCGCATGTGGAGCCGCTCTGGAACGTCCCTGTGGGTTTAGCACCCAGACTGCTATGTCTGAAGCACAGACTGAGAAAGTAACCCAAACGTGCGCGTTTTCTCATGTCTTTTTCCGAGAAAGTGTGGGTGCTTATTATATTGGCTTAAACTCAACGTGTAGCCGCGCTCTTTTTGACACTTGCAACGGAATGAATGGAACAGGGATAAACGTACGTGAGTACATAGATCCGAAAATGATCCATGTCGTGTGGGTAGTGGGGTGCTGAACAAGACTGCTGGCATTCTTGATGGCTGCGAAGATGATGTTGTTCGGGTGGAGGTAGCAGCTTCAAAAAAGACATGATGTGTTTCAAGTGAATATATATATATATATATATGGGATGGGAGACGAAGGGGCAAACGTGAGAAAGGGCAGTTACATGCCAAATGTGGTGTCCCTGTGCCATGGGGATTTGCTGTCAGAAGGAGCGACAAAAAAGACCTTCCCATGGGTATTGCCTCCCCAGAAAAGCAAGAATTATATACAGTATAATATATAACTATAATGGTTAACGGCTATAGCCTTTCTTTAAACCAGTGCAGTACGTGGAAGCAGTAACATTTGACCGCTACTCGTGTGGAGAGACTGTGGAGAAATTATGTGCACTTCTTCAGCAAGTTAAGAAATCGCTGGGATGGTTGTCCATGTGTTCCAACGCCCATAAATTATAGCTGCTGAGAAACCCTGTATGGAATATAGATCTTGACATATAGTTTTAATACGTTTTAAATGAGAATCTCAGTGTTTGAGAATCTCAGTGTTTTTGAATGCATGACCTTTAAAGTAAACCATCATCAGCTACTCAACTCTGGACAATGATTCATGAACGCTAACCTCTTCAACCCCACTCCTTGTTGGCCACTTTCTTGCCCTTGTTCACCACGCTCTTGGCAAATTTGGCGCCATTACCCCCCACATTCTCCTTGAAAAAGGTTGCCACTTCTTGTGCTCCGCTGCCTGCAAAGTTGTTGATCTTGTTCACAACATACCTCGAGGAAATGACCCTCCCAATGAAACACTGCACAGTACCAGGAATATGAATATCACCTGGCTGCTATGAATGCTGCTTGAGGGAAGTGCAACATGCAAATAGAAACCCTGAATCATCAAGAGAGAATCATGCAAGAAACGTGTTTCACAATGGAGATGGTTGGGGAGAAAGATCATTACACAAACACATACTCTTCCAAGTGTTCAAACATCACCGATGTTTTTCCGAATTCCAGGTGTCTTGGCACGTGACGTTTCAGGTCCCTCTGCCCTCCAATGTCAGTTCGAACCAACGACGATGACATCTACGGTCCGGAACTCTTGGACTCCACCTGAGAAAGGCATATGTTCATTCACCAAGTAGAGATCCAACACAGTCGCGGTTGATGTTTTTCATTGTTTTTCTATGCTCCACTGCTCAACATGAGCTGTGACTTGGACAGATTCGCAAGAAGCTATTTAAGAGCAAATGGCAAAACTAGGGGTCGTTGGGTGAGAAGATTTAAGGCAGGCATCGCTTTTTCAATCCATTGGCATTTTTTGGGGGCAGGTATCGTCTAAATGTAAATTGCTCTGGAAGGTGATCTTGCAAATGATGACTAGTAGAAGTAGTAGTAGTAGTAGCAGCAGCAGCAGTAGTAGCAGCAGCAGCAGGAGTAGTAGTAGTAGTAGTAGATGTTGTAGTAGTAGTAGTAGCAGCAGCAGCAGCAGTAGTAGCAGCAGCAGCAGGAGTAGTAGTAGTAGTGGTGGTAGTAGTAGTACTAGTAGAGCAGTAGCAGTAGCAGCAGCAGCAGTAGTGGTAGTGGTAGTGGTAGTGGTAGTAGTGGTGGTGGTAGTGGTGGTTGTAGTAGTAGCGGTGGTGGTGGTGGTGGTGCTAGAAGTAATAGCAGAAGTAGAAGTAGTGGCAGTAGTAGTGGCATGAAGGTGGCCAGGTGGTTTCTGAGGCGATACAGACCTATGATGTGGGTATTGTGTGGTATCGTTTTTGGTATCGGTCTAAACCCATAATTGCTTCCCATCGAAGAAAGAAAATGGAAAATGAGCAAAAACAAAATGGAATGTCCAACTAGCATGGCGAACCATATACAAAAAAAACCTTGGACATACACTGTCTCGAGTGTCAACAGCATCAATAAGCAAAGATAGAGTCCAAGATATGTACCGTCACAAGGCTAGGTATCGTTTTTGGGATTGGTCTCGTTTTTTCAAGGAAAATGCAAATTGTTCATTCTTGTAGAAACGTGAGTGCCGACCTTTAATACTTTGCTCCTGTGTCTTTCTATGCTTGACACCTTTTTTTAGTTCCCCGTGCTGAGCATGCTTCTCCTGGACTCCCCATCCATCCCCCACCCCATCCGACCGAACAATCCAGGGCACTTGCCGGACTGCAGAAACAGCTCGGCCCAGCCGAGGCGAGCCTTGCACTTCAACTTCTGATTCCCGAACCTCGGTTCGTCGCCATAGCGTGGGAAAAAGTGGAGGACGTGGCCATGGCTGGGTGGATGGTGGATGGCTCGGTGTTCGGTTTGGAAGGTTTGGCAGATCTTTCAGGATGGATTTGAGGAAACCACAGATTAAGCTATGGCTGAAGGGGACGGATGAATTCCAATCGAAAAATACAGTATCAGTCAGTGGTTTCACAGAAACACAGATTGAATGTAGATGATGTAGAAAAGCGTACGGCTGCCTAGCCACATCCGGACAAATCTCGCTACAATCGCACCCAGTTCATTGGTGTCATTTGTCTTCTTGGGTTTCTCTCTTCAAAAGCGGTCAAGAGATGTCTCTTCGTCTGAATGACCTCATGACCGTCCCTTGTTTCGCTCCCAACGATCCACAACGGCGGTCCGTGGGCCAGATTAGTCAAAGCGGTGCCGGGTCACTTGAAAGCGCAGCGCACCGTAGTAGCGGAGTTGCCCACATTCACCGTGGTGATGAAGCCCAATCCAGCAGTATTGACGAAGAAGCCAATTCCTAAAGACATGAAGAAACCAGTGATGCTGGGCAAGAGATTCTGGGCTGGCTGGTTCATCCAAGTTGTCAGACTCATAGCTTCATAGCAAATAGTTAATTAACTAGAGTAAACAGCTCCGCTTGGATAGTTTTGTCTAAAACAGGCATCCTTCAGAAACCTAAGGGGAAGGAAATTGCCAGGCCTGGACAAGTCTAGTTTGGTCGTTTCATGGAGATTCCATCCTGCTTGCTATATACGAAAAAAGTTTGCATACACACTTAGATCGATGCTCGCAAGAGCTGTATCAGTTGCGACATTCCCGTGTGCTAGTTACTGAATACTTAGCACTCTAGTTACTGAATACCTAGCACTTGACTCGACAAACGGAAAGGTGGCAGGTCAGTGTACTTGTAGGTGCTTGAACAAGGTCGGAAACAAATTTAATTACGGAATCGCTTCAAGCAGGGTAGACAATGGCTAGAAAAGAAAATGACGTTTCCAGTTTGTAGCTAGGGGGCGAGACTTGGGAATCGCCCCATTAGAGTAGGGAAGGGTCAACAGAAGGAAAGGAACCGACGCAGAAGTCCGCCGAGAACCATTTCCTTCTGTTGCCCTGAATAGCAGTGCAGGTACGTGGAAATGGCGTCCCATTTCCATATCCTCGGATACATCGCCAGCTTCGTTGACCATGCGACGATGTATCCTGCCTGGTCCCCTGCTTTTATGTACATTGGAGTTCCTTTGGAACAGGTGTTGACACACACACACACACACACACACTCACTGGAACGTGACATGGCATAGATCTTCGATTTTGGGATTCACCCTTTAGTTACTATAGTTGTTTTTTTGATGCTACGGATATCTTGGATACCCCCTCACTGGTCACAAAAGAATCAACAAAGTTTGGAAACCAAGCATTCCGAAACGATCTCACTAACCCATACTAATCCACCAAAGCAGTAGCACGTTTGCTGCAACTGCACTGCTTCAGCTTCTGCCCTGCTTCAGCCCCATTCAGCCCATCCTTCACTCGCCCCCCCGTGAACTCGCCCCCCCGTTCGCCCCCGTTCGCCATACCACGCCTTGGTTGGCAGTCAAGGAGATGCCGCTGTCCACGTTCACCCCAATGACATCCAACAGGCCCCCAACCTGCAGATCTCTGCCATCCGTTGGGGTCCACCGCTCGCCGGTCGCTCGAACCGGAGCGGTCCGACATCCCCCGAGCGACGGTCAGCTCGGTCAGCTCGGTCTATTTCGATTCTCCGGTCGTCTCGACCGGCTCGTCGGCGCCCCAGGTCGTCGGACCCAGAGCGGCTGCACCAGTAGGGCTGTCCAGAGGGCTGTCGGACCCAGGTCTATTCAGTAGGGAAGAACCAGGGTGAAGCATCGACTCAGAAGGCTGTCCGGCTGTCCGACATGACGAAGAGGTGCTCTCCGCGGTGCTGTCCGAATGGTGAAGCATGTGGAAAAGACCTTTCAAATAAGACAGAGGTGACCTGCCAGGCCAGCTGGGTTCTCAGTTGGAATGGTGGGGATCTGGGCCTCCCACTAAAGCATCCATTGGGCATTCCTGGTTTGAGTCGTGGCTCACTTCTAGAAAAGAAAGAGGAGCGTGAAAAACCTCCAACATCCGTGGCGGATTTCTTCTTGGTCTCAAGACCCGAAAGGAAAAATGACGGCTGCCGCGTCTGGCGTGTGAACTTGTGGTTCTTGAAGTTCAGTTAAAGCAGTCTTCAAAGTAGAGACATTTGGTTTTGGACCAGTCATCACGAAATCACCCCGAAGAGCTGCCTGCCCCAAGACCGTCCGGACGATGGTCTGCACGAAGGAGCCTGGAGAGATCTCTCCAATAATGCATGAGAGTCAGTGGCAGAAATTGGGTGTGTATTTAAATACGTTCCCCAACCCAAGGTGTGATACATCGCACTGAAAACGATCAAGGCAATGGATCCTTTGACTCTCTTGAAGGTCAAATTATATATCTTTGTGGTATTTTTTGGGAATGCGCTCTGGTGGAATGTTCTAATGTTCCCTCCAGCCATATTATCAAACATGTTGAGAATATAGATTGCTAATTTTGCCCTGCAACCCGATTCAAAAACAGCCTGTTGGAGATCGTAGGGAAAGGCCATCAGAAATGGAGAATGCAGAAGAAATGCCGTGCGACGAAGCAACGAAGCTCACAGAGCAACGATCTCTGGGCTTCGAAGAGACGCCGTTGGTATCAGCGGTAGAACCGCAGGCAGAGAGCAGTGATCCCTAAAGCGGAGGCAACGTGAAAGTGTATGCTACACGATAGGGCATCAACTGCTCCTTCAAGGCTAAAGGCGCATCTCAGGAGGACTCGCATGGCCTAGCTTCTATATCTTGAAACTTCCACCCACCGGCTCTGCTGGAGATTAATATCTATATTACTTGTTATGCAAATGTTGTGGTTTCTCCAGTAATGTGTAGATCTTCAAGCTCTGCATCCCCATCTGATTCATGCAATGCCGTTCCAACTTCCAACCTACCACAAATGCAAACAAAATGATATTGTAACCTACACCACTCCCGTCATCACGTCTCCTTGCACATCTCCTGCCTAGGTCTGATGAGAGATAAAAATACATCCCAGGCAAATGCGATTCAGCCACGTTGGTATCCTCACGCTGATGTCAGCCAAGGCTTTCAGAAGGGGAAATTGGAACCACCAAGCCTAGACTACTGTAGAGTGGTCCACGACTGTACTAGATCCAATCAATGTCCAACACATTCTTAAAAAGAGAGCTTCTTTACAATGTACATCTGAGGTTCACTTGCATCTCTGCGAGATGCTTTTCTCAAGCAGGTCTCGGTGTGTGCGGACTCTGGTCAGGCATTTCGAAGATGTCCAACGAAGCCACGTTTGCAGCAACAGGGAGAGAAGTGAGATATGAAGGCACATTCCAAGCGAACTGGGGCACATTGAGACGACACTTTGCTTTTTGGAGAACCTACCCACAAAGTTGGTGTTTGCATCTTTTTTGCCCAGTTCGTAGATCCCCCATGATCCCCCTTCTGGAAAGTAGTGGTCTAGAGTCTAGGGTGTTATTCTCCACTTCTGTCTGTGATTCAGGCATCCAGAATCCCGTGCCACATTCAAACACCGTCGTCACGTACATGTCCGTCCTCATTGCTGCTTGCTGGTCCACTCCTCAACATGAGATTCACCTGAGAAAAACAAGAGCACGTAACCCAAGGAAACAATTGGCTGGAATTGAAGAATTGGCTTAGATCTGGGAATGATTCAGAAGAAAGGCAGGCCAACATTTCACGGACTCCAGACAGGTATTCGCTGCCCAACACAGCAGGAAAACGGCAGAACTGGAGGTCCCTCCACCCACACAATCGGTAGATACCCTCCCCCTCTCCCCCTCCCAAACATGTCCGAGGAACAAAATTGACTAGTATGCACATCCAAATTTGGAGGCCAACAAATCCCTTTTCCAACGTGAATCCGACCTAATCAGAAAGCAATCAAGCTATATATGCCGAAAGCAATAAAGCTAAGGCTCTGCATACCCCCTGCGGCTCTCCCGCCCCAAAAACACACGGTCTGTCGCCACGTCGCCTGGGTGAGTTGGAAGGACATGTCTGGCAAGATCCCATTGGAGACTCCACTGAGCGCAAAGGTCACATAGCCGGTGACACTCTGCACCAGGGTGGCTCGTTGCATGCCTTCCACCAGGCTCACCACCTCGCGGGAAGGCCGGTTGAAGTGGGAATACACAAGTCTGGGATACTCGCTGATGGGATGTGTTAGCTAAAACTGTGCGAAGCCTAGGGGTGTGGTTGTAGGTGATGTTTTGAATGCGAAGGCGTGGTCGGAGTGAGTTCATGTTGCGTTCACTGACTCGTGGGTCAACGTTCAAAAATAAAGAAACTGTATGAAACAGTCAGCTCTTGTCAGTATGAAGATAAATGAACATTTACTGTAGTTGACTAGTTGGGTGTTCGAAGGAACACACCCACACTGATCCCGAATGTCAGCAATCATTGTTTGTTTCCCAAAGTTGTTTGTTGGCGTCACCAAGTCGCAGTTGTGGAGCACAACGCTGTAACTTTGGGCCCTAAAATGCCAAATCTGGCTCAGGGACCAAAGATGGTCCCTGCAATCCTGTGCTTCAAACTCCTTCAGCTCGCGCCTGGGAGGACGCGCCCGCCTGCCGCAAACCAGCGGCCGCCGCGGCCGGGCCCACGTAGTAAGCAGAGGCGGCACCGCCCAGGAGGTCTGGTAGGGAATCGCCCAGGTCACTACTGGAGAGCCTCAGCCTCAGGGTCCAGCGTTGTTTCGCGATTTTGCGGCAGCTCTTGTTCCCCCTCCTGGGCAAATTAGCAGCCTACTAGACTGATTGAAAACAAAATAATAGTCCGTTTCGTGGATCAGTCAGTTTCTTGGAACCTTCATAGCTGCACTGATTCGGGGTGAGTCAGGGAACATAGCTTCTTCGGTCCAAAAAGAAGTTTTAATTCGGGCCTTAGATCGGTATGGCCCACGAAAATGGTCATGTTCTACGTCGGGAATCATCCAATTTTGAGGGCTCAAGAAGTGAAAGAGCCATACCCATGTGGCGGTGCGATGCTGTGACACTAGAGGTTCCAGAATCTGGATAAGTACTGGCACCACTACTATCTGAAAATCTGGAAACTATTGCTGCCCAGCAGGTTTCAAAGACGACTTCTTTCTGAGAAGCTCGGTGCCGGCATCCCCAATCACAACCAAACGACCAGACCCAACGACTCGACCGAGGCATAGCGGAGACCCCTCGGTGACCCTGCTGGTTTCTTTTGATGCCTTTTTCCCTGACCTCTCGGTGACCCGAGACGAGACGAGACGAGTGACCTTCAGTTCCCGAACCCAGCGACCAGTTGAGCGCACTCACCACATTCTCACTGCCATCAAAGCCCAGCGCCACCTCGGTTCTGTGGTCGGTCGGACGTAGCGTGGAACCGGCAGGTTCGGACGTATGCATCCAAAAATGGAGGTGTTGCAATCCAAATGGGGGGAAATGGAGGGGGTTAGTTAAGAACCTAATACAATATAAGATAATACAAAATACATATATATATATATATTGTATTTGCATATTGAACAAGAATCTACATTACAACCAGAGTCAAAAAGGATGCAAGGTCGCTTCTTTGAATCAATAAATTCCCTTAGGACAAAGGGTGTCGTCTGTCCTCTGAGGGATCTCAAGGCGGGGTCCGGGACCATCGCCCTTGAGATCACACATAATACTCGTCTAATTGATTTCTAGACTATATCAATACTCTTGATATATCCGCCGACCCCTGCTCTGGCGAAGGCAGGGGCGGCGCCTGGGACCACCGAAGGTGTCGAACCTTCGCTTTTGTCAAGGGCTGCTCCAAAACCTCGCACTTGCTAGACTGTGGGCTCTGGGCTCTATGCGGGACTGTGGGCGGAGTTGCGCAGAC